GAACATAGGTCATCAGTTCCTCTATTCCCCTTTATTCTTTCCCAAAATTTCTCTTTTACAGCTAATTAAATCTTGTCTTTTTCCTTCGAAATGTCTGAAAATTCTGTCTCTTCTGGTTCGCCGCGTCTTTGTGGTTGTGGTTTAACTGCAAATCATTTTGTGGCTAAGACTCAATTGAACGGTGGTCATCGATTCTACAAATGCCCTCGTTTTGACGAGACCTCTACATGTGGTTTGTGGGAATGGCGGGATGAAGAGATGCCACCACATGTGACGATGCTAATCCACAACTTGAATACTTCACTGAAGTCAGTGGAAGTTGAAAGAAATTATCTAAAGAAGATGGTGGCTAACTTGGAAGTTGTTGTTTCTGCTGAAAGACTGAAAATAGAGAAAATAATGGAAGAGGTCGAGGGAATTAATTCAGCAAAATTACAGAAGGTTGCTAGGATGGAGGCTCAACTACAAAATATGAAGTTGTTTATTGTGTTTTCTTGGATTGTCTTTGTGTTAGTACTAGTTTTCAAGATGATGTAGTGTAGTTATGTTATGGTGTAGTTATATTATGATGCAGAAGTTTGAAGTTTATGTGTTATGTTTTGATGAAGTTTGAAGTTAAACCACAAAATTGAAATATGAAGTTTGCAGATGTTTATGTATTAGTTTCTATTTTTTTTTTTTTTTTCTGCATTTGTAATATTTATGTATTATGTTCCCTTTTGTAATTCTGCATTTGTAATGGTTCTCTTTTGGTATGAAATGAAGTTTGTTACCATTCTCTTCACTCTCATACAACATTTAAATTCTGCATTTGTAAAGGTGCACATGCACAGACAATCACAATAACAACTTGAAATCTCTTATAGATAGACAAGCTAGACAAGAAGAACATTGCCATTAATCGAGTAGCAAATTTACATTGTTTCAAGATTTAAGCCCAACAAAATATTGCTATTAGACAAGTAAATGTGTGATCCAAAAACCTGTACCACTGTCACAATATTTACTTGTCTAAAAACCTAGAACATAAACAAACATCATGTACTCGAACAGTCATGCAAAGAAAGGATTTTAATGTATATTATATTCATCATTTCTTGCTACACTACTCCCCTTTGCCCCTCCCCTTGCCTTTTCTAGCTTTGAGTTTGCCAATCTTTTTCTCTTTCACACCCAACAATTGAGCTGTTGTCATTGCTTCCTTCCTCTTCCAGGTAGTTTTCTTTGGGGAGTATGGCAGTTTTGTTGGTTGTGAGCTACTAGTGTGATCACCTGTGAATGGTATCTTCCTAGTGCCAGAATTTTGTTGATTCCTACGCTGAAGTCTAGTCTTAATATCAGACACAACCTTAGGCCTCAAGACTGGGTCAGCTTCTGCACCAAAGTCTGCTTGAATAAGCCTTCTTCTGGTCTGAATACTTTGAGTGCTGGAGTGCTGAGTTGGCATTTGAGTGTCCTGACTGGATTACTGACTTGGCTGCTGAGTGTCATGACTGGATGGATGAGTTGGCTGCTGAGAATTAACCTCGCTGTTCCAGTATTAGCTAGCATTTATAGGGGATTAAACACAATTTACAAATGGCTCACCACTCGATCCTTCTAGAGTTTACTTCCCAATTCATTATGTGTATAGTTGGTTGGCCTGTTACTTCAAGACTCATTTTTCTCTAACAAATAGTCAGGCTACTCCTATAATGGCCATATATTCGGGTGAGGGAACAGCGAGATACTTTGGGAATGAAGATGCGAGAAACGTATTCATGGAGGAGAAAATGCCGTTTTGGACTTCCACATGCCAAGTAATACTCAACCGTATTATTATTGTGATGATGGCAACCAGGAAGAGTCCAAGTCAAATTATTTTATGAGTATTCACTCGAATTACCTTACCTTTGAGAAAT